ACTGCCTGTGTGACCTGAGAGCGAGCTGCTTCCCGAGCCTGCGCCTCTGGTTCCTCGTGGATCCAGCGAAGGAGACAATGGTTCTCCCTCTCGGGGCAGCCCTGAGTGCAGAAGATGCTTGGGGAGCACTTGGGACAGCACCCGGCGCAGAGGCTTCTGTCTCACCTGCAGTGTGCTGTGGGCTGGACGCTTCTCTGTGGGGGCCGTCCTGTGCACTGCAGGTTGAGCAGCACCCCTGGCCTCTACCTATTACATTCCAGCAGCAACCACAGTTGTGACAACCAAAAATGTCTCTAGACATTGCCAAATGTCCTCTGCGTAGGGCTACCAGATTTAACAATGTATACTTATACTAACAATTATTCACTATCTAATTCAAATTTAATTGTGTGACCTGTATGCCATTGGCAACCCTACCTGGGGGGCAAAATTAAGATCCTTCATTAAGGATCAATGGGTTGAAGTGGAGCCACCCTGGGGTCTCAGTAGTAACATCAGTTGTTTCTCTCACCTTCCTCCAACCTTCTGAGTATGTCCTGTCCACCTCCCCCATGCCATTGCCTCCCCCCCCCCCCCAGGGATGGGAGGCTCAGCTCCCCCAAGCCCAGCTCAGCCCTTGTGTTGATGGCTCTCAATGATAGCCCTTCCTTCAGCTCCAGTCTGCAGAGCTAAAGCTGTTTCCTCTCCAGCACCCACTTCATCCCCCTGCCTCCTTCCTGGGGCCTGCCCTCCCCCCAAGCAAGCCCCTCCCCCAGCCTTCTCCCCTATCCCTCCCCCAGCTTTCCCCCCTCCAATTAAGTGGCCTCCCAGTCCCAGGCTGGAGGCAGGAAAACAAGGCAGTTAGTCACTTTGCTTCCGTTATCAACTCAGTCAGTCACATGGCTGGCTCCTTTAATGGCAGTCGTCATGACAACGGGAAGCCAGAGCCTGCTCTCTGGGAACCAAAACAAAATTAAGTGGGGGAGGTGGGGAGGAAAAAAGAGGGGAGGGTGAAAGGAGCTAGGAAGGAGCCAGGATAGAGCTGGCTGGACGTGACTGGAGGGAATCGCTCGGAGGCCACCCGGTCTCCAGCTCTGCCTTGGTGGCACTGGGCAGAAAGGAAAAGTAAGAGGCCTGCCCTGGCAAAGCTCAGGCTACCATGGCGGGTGTTTTCACACTGTTTATCCTCACAGTTGAGTAATTTTCATCTCCATTATGAATAAACTGAAACCCAGACACTTGTGAATATAAAGAGGGATGCTCATCCAAGGTTGTGCAATTTGCAAGCCATCAATTTCAGCTCCTCCCTCCTCTTCCCATATTCCTCAAGTCCTCCCCACTCCTTCCCTCTTGCTTTTATGATAGGACCAGGTGCTCTGTCCACACTGTATCCAGCACAATTCTCTTCCTCTGGGAACTCCCCCTACTCCGAGTCCTCCCATTCCTCAAGTTCACAGTGCTCCCGCTAGCCACAGTTTTTACAGATGCGGTTCCCTCTGCCAGGAATGGTTTCCTCTGTTCTTCACGCCTCATACCTTCACCTGAAAGGCCTACTCATCGCTCTGGCTGGATTGCTCAGTTGGTTAGTGTCAGCCCTACATGCCAAGGTTGTAAGTTCGATCTCTGGTCAGGGACCATACAAGCAGCAACCAATGAGTGCATAAATAAGTAGGGCAACAAATCGATGTTTCTCTCCCCCTCTCTTAAAAAAGAAAAATCCATAAAAAAATAAACGTACATACCCTTCACCTATCTTCTTAAACGTGATACGTTTAAGATATGTAACTGCATGCAGTTACCTCTCAGGTACCTCTCCTTCAGAACCTGGCACACAGCCTATAATTCCCTTTCTAATTACGCTCGGGATGTCTGTTGGGGTCTTCTACGTACTGGAATGTCAGCCCCAAGAGGGCAGGGCCTATCTTGTTTACTGCGACATCCACCGCATCCAGCCCAGCCTCTGGTACACAGATGCCTCTCAGCAAGTAAATGCACTGGCATTTGAACCCAGCTCTGGTTGATGGCAAAGCTCCTTCGCGACCTGCTTCCTGGTGCTGGGTCGCCATGGCTCCCTGGGTCAGCACTGGACAGAGCTTCCAGGCCCACAGCCCTGCGGGCCTTTGTGGCTTCAGTGGCTCAGGCAAAGCTGGCAGACCTGCCTGGTCCATCTACAGAAACTGGCTGTTAAGCCACCTCTGCCATAAAGAAGGATGTGGGGAGCTTCTGGGGTGACTGTGACAAGCCGGGATGCGGCTCCTCTGAACCCTGACGGTGAGCAGAAGGAACACCTAACCTGACTCCCAGATTTTCACTCATTCCACTGGAGACTGGCTCTCTGATACTAGGGGGACACGCTCCCCAAAGAGGAAGGGAAAGAGAGAGGTCTGCTTTTGGGGGAACAAACCTGTCACCATGCCGTTAGGGGACACCCGTGCTGAACAGGGGGACTCACGGACAGAAGACTTGAACTCGTTCCTCTTTATTCGGCTGTAACCTTGGAACATCATATACTCTCTCTGGACCGGTTTTCTCAGCGGTGCAATGGAAATGATACCACCCACACATGCCAAAGTTATGGCGCTGTGTAGATGTGGATGGGCATGTCTGTGATACAGGCGGTAAGGGCCTGGCCCAGACAGACCTGGGGTAGGTCCTCAGCTCTGTCCTTCTTAGCTGTGTGCTCTTGAACAACTCACCCTTCCTCTCTGGGCCTGTTTCCTTGTCTGTAAAGTGGAACGACCTCACTCACCTCAAGAAGCTACTGTGTGCAAGGCGGGCACAGAGCAGCCTCCAGTACATGGAAGCTCTGATTATGTCTAATTACAAAAACAATGTGCCCCAAGAAATGCAGATTTAGAAACAGCCACCAACTTGTGACTGTCAGGTCCTACGTTCTGATTGCAGATCTGGGGTCAATGGGTACTTGAAGCGCTTTGTCCAGACTTGCAAGGTTCTGCCCCCATCCCCCTCAGGTACCAGGCAGGATGCCAGGAGGTCCCTCTGATCAGATGATCTCGGCCCAGAGCCAAGCAGAAAGCTCATTCCAAGCCCCAAATGCAGCCCTTCCCAGGAGAGCATGCAGGCCCAGACCGCTGGCCACCAAGGACAAAGTGTTCTCCCAGCCTGGCCAGTAACCCACACTAGACTGATATGATGGGACCTCCAAGGGCATTGGACCAATGCTCCTTCTCCAGATGTGGAAACTGAGTCCTCAAGAGGGAAGGGGATTTGTCCAGGGCACCAAGGGAGCTGGTGGCAGAGCTGGGACCAGGGTCCCAACTAAAGCCCTGCCCTGAGGCAGAAAGCACTGCCCCCCCCATGTCTCGCTGACATGCTCTTCTGCTTGCAGCCCCTCCCAATGGAACGAGCCAATCATGTCCTTAAAAACACAGCTATTCCAGGTGAAAACATCTGGAGAGCACACATTACATCTAGATTTGGTTAAACAATGAACAAAAACACTTCAGGTTTTGGACTCCCCCCACCCAAAATAGTCATCGGAATGTGTGGGTTTCGCTGGAAAGGTCTAGACAGAGCTTTCTTCAGGTCCCCACGGTGTCTCTCTGAGGGCTGAGCTGAAAAGTTCTGGACCTTTCTGAGGGAGTCCATGTATTCTGTAAGCCTCCTTATTCAGAAGGCCAGAATGTAAACCAGCCCTGGAGCTGATTCTTGAACGTGGGCATGCCACACACACACACACACACACACACACACACACATACTCCCCAGGAGGGAAGGGCAGCAACAGGTCACAGCCTGGAGGCTGCCCTTGATAGCTGTCTGCCACCAAGCAGGGAGGGGCTTCTTGGTGCTGAGCGTCCACCCCAAACACACAGAGGCACAGGGATCAGGCCACCCCCAAAGTCTTCAGGCTAAGGACTCCAGATATGCCAGTGATGCAGGCTCAGCAGCGGGGTCCCAGGCAGAGGGATGTGGGCGACATAAGGTGAGCAATACACACACAGTCACAGCTTACTCATTTACACACAGACTCATGCATCATACATCACACACACACACGGATACACACGGACATACATACACAGTCACAGCCTCATTCATTCACACAGATTCCTGCATCACACAAATGCACATCATACTCAAAAACACAGATAAACACACAGACACATGTACACATAGTGCACAGAGATAACAGAGGTATCTCCAGAGAGATGCATAGACATTCTCAAATACACACACTCACGGCTGGCTACATGTCCTTACCCACACAGGTATGTACACACGTGTACACACACACCCGTCACTGCAGATTCTCCCCTCTCTGCAGGAGATCATGGGCTATTAACTCCAAAGGCTAGACTGGGCTCCCTGGTGGCCCCAGGCCGAAAGGGGAAGTGGGGCAGCTGAACCCTGTCTGATTCTCACCCTCCTTCGTGGGTGGGGGGCTGAGGGGCGCCTGCCTGGCAGGAGAGTGCGGGCACATGTCCACAAATGGAGTAACCCACTAAGCAGGACTCTCAGGGAGAGAGTCCCCTGGCTCCTGGGGGTGGCCCTAAGGACTGAGAACTCGGAAGGGGGGCATGAAGATATGTGGAGGAAGCTTTATTTTCCCAAAGGGTTACCTTCCCCTTTCCTGAAGTCTGGTCCTCCTTCTGCAGCCCCATCCCGAGCCCCCTAAGCCCTATCAGCCCCCCAGGTGCTTGTCTGGTAGTGAGACCCACCCACCTGAGACCCACCCACCGACTGCTCCACCAGAGGGGGTCCTACCCAGACGAATGCAGGAGTGCCCCACAGCTGGAGAGCCCCCCCGCTGCATCCACCCCTGCACACAGCAGAAACACATCCAGAGCCCCCCTCCACACCTGAAGCCCCCTCCCCCAAACTCACCAGCCTCCAGTCCTGCGAGAGGTTAAGGACCCACTCAGGTGAGCCCAGGACCAAGGTGGCCTCCTCCTTCCGCCAGTGGCCACCCCACCTCCGAGACTCTTTCCTCGGGGAGCTGCAACTGTCCTCTCCCCCCGAGGGTGCACCCTCGCCCCCTCCCCCACCTCCCCACCTACCTCCTTCTTGACGGTGCGCAGCAGCCTTTGCCGGGTCTCCGCCCCTGTGGGACAAGACGGGAGGGCGGCCGGTCAGCCGAGGGCTGGGGCCGGGGCCGGGGCTGCCCTCCCGCCGCCCCGCGCCCCGCGCCCCTCACCCGCGGGGCCCGAAGCCATGGCTGGGCGAGCGACGTTCCGGGTCCCGGGCGGCGGCGGCTCCCGTCGCTGGGCTCCGAAGCTGCGGCCGCGGCGGGGCGGGGCCGGCGCCGAGTGACGTCAGGGTGCGTCACGCGCGCGGGCCCGCCCCCCGGAGACGCACTGCCGGGCCGCCTGGCTCCCGGCGCGCGAAGATCCTGCCCAGCAGGTGCACACCGTCACTCCCGCACCCCCGTCCTGCCCAGGGACCCCCGCCCTTGTGTGGGGCAGGGAAGGACAGCGTCATGTGTTCGGTGTCTGCTAGGTGCCAGGCTCCAGAAAGCGGCGGGAGATGGTGGGGCACTGCCTCCGAACCTCAGTTTTCTCATCTTTAAAATGGGTATAATATGATTATCTCATGGGAATAATGAGAGACTTAAATGAGATAGTGAATGTAAAATGCTAAACACAGACCCTGGGGGAAAAAATCCAGCACCTATCAAAGGTTCCTGCAGCTGCTCTGTCTACCATGATTAATGTCGTTATTATCATCGCTGAGAGTGTCACAGGATATACTGGCTCTCCATCCAGGACAGGACAGGCCCCCAACCCCCTCCCTACATGCAGGCCACTTGGAGAGTGGAGTCCTCCCAGGAGCCTGTCCCCATGGGGCGCAGCTGGTAGCCAGGATCTCCACAGGTGTGCTGGGCAATGGGCTCTGTGGGACCAAGGCTTGTGACTGCATCCACCCAGAGTGCAGCACAGGTCAGCAAATATTTATGGAGAACCTACTATGTGCCAGGATCCTGTGCTTCGGATCCTGAAGTGAGCAAAACAGACAAAAAGCTCTGCCCTGTGGAGCTTGGGAGGTAGACAACAAAATAAATAAATGATACAGTATGTTGGAAGATTCTGGAGAAAAATAAACTAGGCAAGGGAGACAGAGTGGGCCCAGATGGGTAGGGTTTGTCTTTTGAGGCGGGGTGGCTGAGAGAGGCCCCACTGAGAAGGTGACACTTGAGCACAGAGGAATAGGGGTAGGCCGTGGAGGTTTTCGGAGGAAGAGCTTTCCAGGCAAAGGGAACAGCAAGTGCAAAGGCCCTGGAGTGGGAAGTGCCAACTAGCAAGGAGGCCAGGGTGGCTGGAATGGCATGAGTAAGTCCACTTTAAGGATCTGCCATCCTGCCCGCAGAGGCTCCACCTCCCCCACCCCCAGTATTCAGTCCCCCTTTCAGAAGGACTGAGAACAGCTCAGAGTGTGCCTTCTCCCTATGGCAGTGAGCCCAGAGCCCCCTCTTTTCCTTTTGTCAATGTCTGGGGTCTTTGTTCATAAGCCACAAGCCGACTTTGGCTAATTTGGGCAAAAGGGAATAAACCGGAAGGCTAATGGGTATTCTCAGAGTCCATGGGAGCCTGGGAGAACTGGGAAATGGGATGGAGCCAATCGCATGCATGTCTGAGAGGCTGCACCTAGCCCTGAAATCAGGGAGTGTTCTAGTCCACAATCCCAGTGGTCATTACTAGGTAGCTGCATAGAATTATTAAGGACCACCTCTTCGTTTTATTTCTGAGCTCTATGTATTTATTCACCTTCAATTTCATCATTCTTTTCCATTGGTTGGTTTGGTTCAGTTTGCTGTGGTTGTGTTTTCTCATGGCAGGTGTAAGTAAATAAATGTGTGCATGTGTGTGTATATCCAATATATTTATGAACATACTGTAAATGTACTCATGCAAATTGTATTTAGTTATCTCTTGCTTTTGGTCTGTGTATCTCCATGTTCCAGTTTAAATATTTAAATATCACTTTCTCTCCCACTGTCCTCCCTCCTTTTTTTTTTTTTCCAGAAAGACCAGAAATTTTCTGCACGTCATTCATTCAGAAATAATGACACTCAGAATTCTGTGACATCTGGATTGTTTATGAGAATTATGAGGTAGTTAGATTTCCTACTGGACTCATTATTAACTCAATCATTCATACATCCATCGTTCTCTCTTGACATGTTGGTTGAGCACCTGTTCCTTGCCAGGCACTATTGTATCCCTGAGGGAGAGCACAGGTGAAGCCCCTTCCCTCGTGGCCCTTACATTCCGTCGGTGAAACACCAACAGTAAACAGACATAACTTTAAGGTGCCCAGGAGCAACCTGATCACGTGACCTGTAGAACCAGAGAATTGTACAACTTTTCTGAAAGGCCTACTGGGAAGAGTCCCAAGTACCATGAAGAGGTAGGTACTCGCTGAGAGATGCAGTCCAGGTGTGACTAATGCAGACTCAGGAAATATTTATTAAGAACCCGCTACACCCAAGGACTGGGCTGGACTCAGCCAGGACACTGAGCCCACAGTGATGTCTGGGAGTATCTTCTCCAACCCAATACTCCAGATTTTTTTCCTTTGATCCTCTTCTCTTCTCCCACACCTTCTCTCTGGGTTACCCTCCACCAGACAAACCCTAATCAAACAAACCAGAGCACACAAAAGGCATAGCCACTACCCAGAAGGCACCAGGGCTTATACAGCTCAATCTAAGCAGTAACCTGGACACTTACAGACGTCTTCCTTGGAATCACTTAAGGATTGCCCAGGAAAATCTTAGCAGGACTCTGCAGCTCGGAGAAACTAAATTAATGTCTAAATTCAATACAACCCCAAATGAACAGACTACAGAATTTGTTATTTTCTGGGACTCAATGCAATGACTCCAAAGTTCATTTGAAAGAATAGCCAGGCATTTTCCAGTCCGTAGCTTTAGGTTTCTCTAGTCCTTAGTATATTTTTCAAGATATTCTGAAAAATTGCCCTGGCCAGTTTGGCTCAGCGGTTAGAGCGGTGGCCCGCGGACCAGAGAGTCCCAGGTTTGGTTCCCGCTAAAGGCACGTACCTTGGTTGCAGTTCTTCCCCGGCCCCAGTTGGGGTTGTGCGGGTGGCGACCAGTCGATGTGTCCCTCTCACATTGATGTTTCTCTCTCTCTCTCTTCCTCCCTCTCTCCCTCATGCTCTTAAATGCAAAAATGTCCTCTGGTGAGGATTTAAAGAAAAAAAGATATTCTGAAAAATACTCTGAACACTTGCGTTACTGGTGCACCATGGACAGCGAAGAATTGAGTTTAGGGTTAGAGTTGAGGGCGCACGCGGGTTCTATGGGATGACTGTGAAATTTCAAAGCGGTGGTAAGGTTAGGATTACTCAAGCAAAAGTGTCAGATATCTCTCTTTCTTAATTACAATGGAAATTCAATGTGTGCATCAAAGGTTTAAATGCCAAACAAGGCAATTATAAAAATATTAAAAGAAAGAACTTGTGATTAAAAAACCTCTCTTGAGTGCAAGGCCGAAGAAGCCCGGAAGCAGTCAACAAAAAGATTGATACAAAATAGATCATCAAAAAAGACGCCAACTACTTCAAAGCTTACAAATCAACATGAGTCCACTTGTAGGAACCGACCTAGAGGTTTACAGATGAGCCTGGGGTTGAGTTTAAGGACAGTCACAGTGGCTACGATTCAGTTATATTGGCAATAGCAGGGATTTGGTTGAAGTGTTAAGTGGTAAGGGCACAAGTTTCTGGAGTTCCAAGAGCATGTCATTTAGTAAGGTCACCTGGCAGGTTCATCTGGGGATGGTTGATGGGAAAGATGAGGTGGGGCAAGAGATTGGGCAGATGCGCTGGCCAGTGTGGCTCAGTTGGTTGGCATGTCCTCCAGTACTCCAGGAGGTGGCAGGTTCGATCCCTGGTCGGGGTACATGCAGGAGGCAGCCGGTTGATATTGCGCTCTCACATCGATGTTTCTCTTTCTCTCTAAAAAAAATAAAAATAAAAATCAATTAAAAAAAAAAGAGATCGGACAGAGGGTCCCGCTCCCATCCCACGGAGAGTCGGTGGGCCTGAGACACTGTTAGGTGCAGCTCAACATCAGCCTCATTCGGTCCAGGATGGAGGTGGCGCTGGGAGAAGCTGGGCCTGCAGGGTTGAAACCGGGGTGGGCACTGCACCTGCCCTTCTGAGAGTGCAGAGCATCCTGCAAGGCAGCCAAGCTGGTCTCACCTCCAGCGCCCCCACTTGGAGACAGCTGCTGAGCACAGGCTGCGGCCCGGGAAGGAGCTTTCCTCTCCCGCCCCCCAAAGATGCCGAGGGGCTGGGAGGAGAGGCCGCAGAGGGCGGGTGCATCCCGCACAGATCAGCCTGGCTCTGGACGTGCAGGGAAGGTAAGTGAGCTGAGGGAAAGGACGGAGACTGGGGACAGGTGGGCGGAGGACCTGTTCTGGTTGCAGTAGTTCAGGTGTGTGAGTGTGTGTAAAGGGGGTGTCCAGGGGACACCTGGGCTTCTACTGTGCTATGGGGGTGCCTGGTCGGTGAGAAGAACCCAGTACACACCTGGCTCGTACAATCAAGCGCTCTGACACATAGTGTCTGGTGCATCTATGTGGAGAAATCAAAATCAGTGATTTTCTTAAATGTCTATGAATATTTTACCAGGTCCCCCATTGTTTACTATAGGACAGTTTTGACACCTTAGGAGCAATCTGTCTTATGGTGTGATTGGAAAATGTGTGTAGTTGGTAACCTGGTGCCTCATTTGAAGTCATAGTTTAAAAAAAAAATGACCAGGCAACTCCACAGACATGCCTGATATAACTGTCTCCTTTAAGGGCTGCCCCCCTTCAGGGTCATTGCCTTCGGGACAGCAATGAGCAGCAGGACCAGGACTCAAGTCTGGGACAGAGTGTGTGGTCAGTACCCCCCAAACCTCGCCGGGACCCCACGCCCTTCACAGTTCCTTCCCTGACCCTCGGCTTCTCACTGCAGAAATCGTCTCCCCCCGAACCCCAGCGCTGATCTCCCTCGCTCTCTTCACTCCGACCAGGCCCTGTCCCCGCCGCCCCACCGACATGGCTTCCCCAGGTCACGGCCACGGCCGGTTCTCCGTCCTCCTCGTACTTGCCTGCGCTGTGCTTGGAAGAGCAGAGCTCCGTTTTCTCCTTGCGAAGCTCCCGCCGTGTGGAGCCCAGGTCACTGCTCTGCCTTGGTCTTCCTCCTGCGTCAGCGGCCACCGCGGCAGGCTTGTCT